ATATTGTATGGTATAACCGACACCTGAGCTATGAAAGGAACTTGATTTGTTGTTAACATAAGTTATAATCATGAATACTTGACGAGATTTACAAGTATTAGCATTAATCGAATAAAATGACTAATATAATCATATTAACAATCTATAATCTGATTGGAACCTCCTTTGTGTGTGGTTTCTAATTGAATAATAAGAGTTTATATTATACTTGTTTGACATACCATTAGTGGAACCTCTAATCTTGACATTTGTTATTATCATTATTTAATCCTCACATTAATAATCCATCTCAAAGTTCTCATCTTCTTCTTCTTCTTCTCCTTCTTTTTCTTTATTATTATTATTATTATTATTACTACTACTACTACTACTACTACTATTATTGTTGTTGTTGTTATTATTGTTGTTGTTATTGTCATCTATAATTTATACATTTGACTTCCTTGTAATTAAACCCCAGTTTTACCGAATTATTTATTACTTCGACACTCCTGCACTTGGAAGAAGACAACAATCTTTTATATATGGTAAATTATTTTCTTGGAAAAAAACAAAATAAAAGCACCTTAACAATGATGGTGAATGTAGTACATGCCTATTCTATTTTAGTAAAAATAAAGAAATAAAAAAAAAAACAAAGAGGAAAGTTTTCCCACCTATTGAAGGATTATCTTTAATGGACATAAAAGGAGAATACATTGAGTGATATTATAATGGTGGTGTGTTATCTTTAATTGTTTTAGATTAGACTAATTTTAACAAACTTTATAAATCAAAAAATAGTTAAATATTAGCTTAAAATTTTTATATATGCATATTCTTAATACATGCCTCGTATATAATCGCAATGAACTCTTTAAAATAAAAACATTCAGAAAAATTATAACTTTCATATCATCATATTAAAGTTGATAGAACTCTCAATAAATTTTTTATTCATATCATATACTTTATATATTTGTATTATATAAGAGAATTTGTAAACAATAAAATGCATTAAGAAATAATTCATAAATATTGTAATATAATATTATGTTGGGTAATAGAACATATTTTAATTTTATAACATTAGGATATGAGAGTCAAAGTTTTATCAAAGTTTGATTTTTTTAGATATTTTTATTTAATAATTTTAAATTATATATATTATTAAATGCAAATAAATTATGTATTGGGTTACCTCCCTACCCAATAACTTTAGGTTTGGCTATAATAGGATCCATTAACTTTGAATTCGATTACCAAACTCAATATTTGGTTTCACTTTACCGTTACATTCAAAATACTAAAAAAATTATATATACTTATTATTTTTTATACATTTAAAAAAATATATTATTAACATACATAACACAAAATAAATATTAATAGCTTAAATATAACAATTAAAAAGTGTCTATGGAACTATAAAGACTCATGACGTGGATCTAAAAGCTAAGGGAACATTGGATGTGATGGAAATTAAATATTAATAGCTTAAATATACAGCTAAAAAGTGTCTCGAGAACTATACAGACTCATGGCGTGGGTCTAAAGGCTAAGAAACATTAGGATGTGATGACAATTTTTTTAAATTAATCACAACTTTAAAAGTTATTTGATTTTTATTATTTAAACTTGTATTTTAATTTAAATTATAATAAAACTTGAGTTTAATAAAAACTAAAATATATATTTATAAAATTACAACAAAAAAAATGAACTCAATACCAAGCACTCAAAATCTTCATTCAATGATGTATTTTTTACATTGAGAAATTGTCATTTAATTTGTGCATTTCTTTCTAAAATTAAATGCTATTTTATTTAAGGCATTCGTGAGGGACTACCGAAACCAAAATGTTAAGTGTTGGTTTAATAACATGTGGCAATAATTTATTTTTTAATCATTTAGATACTATATCATTGAATGGAAATTCCTATTTTTTTAACAAAATTAAATTTATAATTTAGTTCCCAATTACCTGTCCAACTGTAATATTTCTATATCGTATAGAGGACTTTTAACAAATAAATAAATGGTCTAATACATTAAAAATATATAATCACTAAAAATAAATAAAGGCAGCAAAACAAATTTTAGTCTCATGTTTCGTTCATAATCACCGAAAGAAATTATTATAACAAAACAAGGACACCATAACATTAAACAAAGAGAAAACCTAGAAAAAACAAGTTAGAAAGAACGATGATGGGTGGTATAATGGCAGGAGGCATTTGAACAGCACCATTTTTCTTATTGTTATGATATGGTGGACTGGTGTCATTTGCGGACTGAGGTGGGGTTTCTAGCTCCAACACTTTGATGATCATCTTCTGCCCTCTCTCACAATGCCCAGCAACTCCACTGATGAAATAGAACAAACCAGGTCGGTCCAACTTGAAAAAAGAGTCCCCATTGTTGGAGAAGAACAAGGGATGAGCAGATCGGCATTTTTGGTACTCTTCCTCAGTCACTACCAGAACTGAGTCTTTGTTGTACTTGAATTCTGAAATATTCAATTTTAAGCATAAACCACTTCTATTTATCAGCATTGTTCTTAACACGGTATTAAGTAGGGGAAAAAAACAGGTACTTACGAGCAGTGTCGTCAACTTTAAACCTGTTTTTGGAGGCCCAGTCAATGTACATTTGGCTATCTTTCTTAGGAATAGTCCAACCATCCTCACCTCCTACAAGAAACTCGGTGGAAATAACAAAGGAGAACTGAAAAATGGAGGAGAAGATAATCAAGGAGAGGAAGACTTTGCACGAACCATTGAAGAGATCAGATGCCATTCTTGAGGTTTTTAGTTTCCTTTTTTGGTTTGAGAAAATATTAATGCAACTTAAAAGGTAGTGAAGTTTAAGCCTGTTATACACGCACGCGCGCACACATATATAGAGAGAGAGAGATCGAGTAGAGAGGATTATCAGGAGCGAGTCGTAGAAAATGTTGGGTAGTGGGCTGGCTTGATTTTCTCTTTGACTTGGTCATGAAATATATAACTGTTTTTCAAATACAGCTTTTTCTCTAGATTTGTTGAGTGAATTAGCATTAAATTAAAAAATGTATAAATTATTTTAAATAAAATAATAAAAAATAAAAAATAAATGTGAATGATTAAAAAGTTGAAAGATGATGAAATAATTTTTTTAATTTTATAAATTATTTCAAATAAAATAAATAGAAATAAAAAATTAATGACTAAATCTAATAAATAAAAAAATTAATTAAAAAATATTAAATAAAAAAATAAAAAATAAGGATCAAAGTTGATATAAAAATCAAATTTTAAACGATAAAATTAAAAAATAATTTAAAATAAAATATATAATAATAAAATAATTAAGGATAAAAGTTGATATTCCAACTAAATAAAAGAAAAATATTTTTCTAAAATCAATTCAAATATCTCTTTAACTAAGAAATATTTTTTATTAATCAAGAAAACAAACAATGAAAAATTTATAAATTAATTTTTTTAAAGCCGACTTTTCATCAAATAAACGGTTCCTTACTGCCAATTAATCTGCATGCATGTTATCCATTTTGTAAATGGTCTCTGAGGAATTGTTTAGTAAATAATTTAATGAAGTATCAATGTTTACGGGGTGTTTAATTGATACGGGATTAAAGCATGTTAAATTTTATCCTTGTAAATTCTTTTTTTATGGGTTAATTAAAGGAGGACTAATTACCTTCATGCAACATTAATTTTTTAATATCTTTTCCATTTTTATTCAAAATATAAATTAAATTAATTTTTAATTATCACTTAAAATCATTACTAATAATTTTATTATTTTATATATCTTTTCATTAATATTTAACCTATTATACCAAACATTTTTAAAATCTACGTCTATACTCTTAAAAATTGCTCTTGTAATTATTACTTAATAGTATATTACTTCATGCTTCATAACATATTAATAATAATTTTTTAAATATAAAAAATTATAAAAAATATAGTTTAAGTATATTTGGTTTGGTAGCTGAGTTAGACATGAAAACTTTGGGTCTGACGGCAAATTTAAATCTAAAATAATCTTATATTTAGCTAAAAAGAAGAACTTAATAGCATTAAATTTGGGTTTTGTGGGGCAGCCAAATCCAATATCATTATATCTGGTTAGGTAACCAAACCCAAATATTCTTTTAATAGTTGCTAAGTTAGGCTTGTAACAAGACCTAATGTTATTGGGTTATGCTGGGCAACAAACCCAAAGGTCATTAGTCTTGCTATATATCCAAACCCAAAGGTATAATTTTAGAGACCTACACTACTTTCAATCACATCAAAATAATATAAAAATATTAAAAAATATGAATTTAAATTAAAAAAATTAAATTTTTTGAAAGCATTTTTTAAACACAAAAACAAACATGTTTTAATAAGAAAATTTAACTTAACCTCAAATGAAAAAAATTATTATCACCTAACTTTTGTACAATATAAAAAAAGTCCAATTAGTTTTTTTTTTCTCTATCGTATGGAAAACAAAATACATAAGAAAAAAAAAGAAAAAATTCAAGAACAGAAAAAATAAAAATATTAATATGAAGTAAAGAAAAACAATAAAAAAAATCTCATCAATTTATTTGTTCTTTATAGTATGAAAAAAAATAAAAGAAAAAAATTAAGAGAGAAAAAAAATTAAAGGAAAAGAAATTAGTTATTTGTGTTTTGGTCATTACTATACTATGTGTTATTCATGGTGTTATTGTAGAAAATAATTTATTTGAAGATGATGATAGTTGACACGACCAAAAGATTGATGTCCTCTCCCAAGTGTAGGAGTGTCAAAGTAATGAATAACCCAGCAAGAATGAGGTCGAAATACAGCGAGGTTAATTGTATAAATTATAAATAACAACAATCCAACAACAACAATAATAATAAATAATAATAATAGTAGTTGTTGTAATGGTAATAGAAGAAGAAGAAGAAGAAGAAGAAGAAGAAGTAATATTATCTTTTTCTATTTTTATTAATATACATATAACTTAAAAACACAATGCATCTTTAACCCATGTAACGAGCTTTCGGCTAATGACTCCTGGACTAGTTGGTCTTAGGGCATTATGCTTTGAGACACCCCTTCAAGCTTAACAACTCGGGTTGTAGATACTAAAATATAGACAGTGCAATGTTTGATTCTCTTAAGCTTTTCTCCTCAACTCATGTATTAGGTGTTAAAACGTTAGGCCAACAGCTCCTAAGTCAGTTGACTTTAGGGTATTAGGTGTTAAAACACCCTTTTGGGCTTAATTGCTTAGGATAGGGAGGTTACGAAACCAAACTTGTCTACATTTTTATTATCATCATTATTTTTTTATTTTTTTTACAATTTATATACCCCTTTCCCCTAGTTGTTGTTACCTTTAACAAAAGAACATAAATAATGTAATAATCCAATATGCAACCCACAATCATATGTTAAAGTGTGTGTGTGTAAATTAAGGTTTAAAAAATACATGTTAAATAAGTATATGAGCAGAACCTATAATCATATGTTAAAGTGTGTGTGTGAAAATGAAGGTTTAAGAATACTTGTTAAGTGAGTATATAAGCAGAATTAAGTGATAACAATGCCAGAGTTTCTAAATTTGAATATTTCAAGAAGTATTTTGATAGACCTTGTTACGAATATTGCAAATAATCATTGAAAAATATTAACCATGATATGTCTCAAGAGTCAATAAACTTCCTCCTTACTCTGCTGATACGACTAAAAGATTGATGTCTTCTCCCAAGTGCAAGAGTGTCGAAGTAATAAATAACCCGGCAAGACCGGGGTCGAACCACAGGGAGGTTAATTGTACAAATTATAAACAACAATAGTACAACAACAACAATAATAATAATAACAACAACAATAATACTAGTAATAACAATAATAACAACAATGACAATAACAATAATAACTATAATAATAATAATAATAATAATAATAGTAGTAGTAGTAGTAGTAGTAGTAGTAAAGAAAGAGAAGAAGAAGATGATGATGAGAACTTGGAGATGGAATATTAATGTAAGGATTAAACAATAATAATAACAAATGTCAAGGTTAGAGGTTCCACTAATGGTATGTCAAACAAGTATAGTATAAACTCTTATTATTCAATTGGAAACCACACACAAAGCAGGTTCCAATCAGATTATAGATTGTTAACATGATTACATTAGTCATCTTATTCGATTAATGCTAGTACTTGTAAATCTCGTCAAGCATTTATGATTATAACTTATGTTAACAACAAATCAAGTTCCTTTCATAGCTCAGGTGTCGGTTATATCATACATTATAGGCTATGAAAGTGCCAAGCATTTGTTGTACCAAGTGTTATACAACATAAATCAAGATTAATCATTTAACAAGCAAAGTATTAAAGAGTGAACAAGATAACAAATACAAAACATGTTAGTATCAAACATTAAAGTCCATATTAAGTTTACATTATACTTATTCTCACACCATGATTAGTACTTAAAAGTGCATTTTTATCATGGTTTTATATCATTATTTTGCACTTGAAGTATCAATAACTCCTTAACTAAAGCATGTTTTATAATAATATATCTAATAATATAAGATACCTTTAATTTGTGGTAAATGTTCATTTTAAATGCAGGCCTATCACATAAATGAAAGGATTGATTGATGAATTTAAGAATTGAAATTGAAAGGATAAAGAGATGGTCAAACTTAGAAAAGAGATGTCGGTGCAATCCAAACCGGAACACTGTTCAGTAATTGGGTCATATATGGAGCTATAGATCTTAGATTTAGGTCTACTTTATATGGATGGAAAGTTAAGACATAGACCTACAACTTTCATGCGGAGCCCAAGATCTAA